TATAACATGAAATCCTAGATAAAAAGTGGTATCACTAGCTTACCAAATTCAAGTATTGTTTGTATCATAACTTGACTAAATCATGGCTTTCATACTAAGGAAAACTTTTAACTAGCACATCCAAGGCCCTGGCCATAGGAGCCTGATCTTCTTGCCTCCAGTGTTGTCACTAATTGTCTCTTCTTAAAGAAATAGTTCCTGTAAGATCATTTAAACCTTTCACTATGCTCAATATGCCTTGATTTCCCCCTCCTATCACATTAGAAAAAGGGAGAAAAAAACAAAAATATAACAGCTTTTTCTCCTTTTTTATCTATTCCCATTTACCCACTGTTTTAATAATTCACATAAAAATTATTTTCCACGAAAACAGAGATACAGACCAATGGTATACAGAGCCCTCAGAAATAATACCACACATCTACAACCATCTGATCTTTGACAAAGCTGACGAAAACAAGAAATGGGGAAAGGATTCCCTGTTTAATAAATGGTGCTGGGAAAACTGGTGAGCCATATGTAGAAAGCTGAAACTGGATCCCTTCCTTACATCTTACACAAAAATTAATTCAAGATGGATTAAAGACTTAAATGTTAGAACTAAAACCATAAAAACCCTAGAAGAAAACCTAGGCAATACCATTCAGGACATAGGCATGGGCAAGGACTTCATGTCTAAAACACCAAAAGCAATGGCAACAAAAGCCAAAATTGACAAATGGGATCTAATTAAACTAAAAAGCTTCTGCACAGCAAAAGAAACTACCATCAGAGTGAACAGGCAACCTACAGAATGGGAGAAAAATTTTGCAATCTACCCATCCGAAAAAGGGCTAATATCCAGAATCTACAAAGAACTTAAATTTACAAGAAAAAAATCAAACAACCCCATCAAAAAGTGGGCAAAGGATATGAACAGACACTTCTCAAAAGAAGACATTTAAGCAGCCAACAGACACATGAAAAAATGCTCATCATCACTGGCCATCAGAGAAATGCAAATCAAAACCACAATGAGATACCATCTCACACCAGTTAGAACGGCGATCATTAAAAAGTCAGAAAACAACAGGTGCTGGAGAGGATGTGGAGAAATAGGAACGCTTTTACAGTGTTGGTGGGACTGTAAACTAGTTCAACCATTGTGGAAGACAGTGTGGCAGTTCCTCAAGGATCTAGAACTAGAAATACCATTTGACCCAGCCATCCTATTACTGGGTATATACCCAAAGGATTATAAATCATGCTGCTGTAAAGACACATGCACATGTATGTTTATTGTGGCACTATTCACAATAGTAAAGACTTGGAATCAACCCAAATGTCCATCAGTGATAGACTGGATTAAGAAAATGTGGTACATATACACCATTGGATACTATGCAGCCATAAAAAAGGGTGAGTTCATGTCCTTTACAGGGACATGGATGAAGTTGGAAACCATCATTCTGAGCAAACTATTGCAAGGACAGAAAACCAAACACTGTATGTTCTCACTCGTAGGTGGGAATTGAACAATGAGAACATTTGGACACAGGAAGGGGAACATCACACACCAGGGCCTGTCATGGGGTCGGGGGAGGGGGGAGGGATAGCATTAGGAGATATACCTAATGTAAATGACGAGTTAATGGGTGCAGCACACCAACATGGCACATGGATATATATGTAACAAACCTGCATGTTGTGCACATGTACCCTAGAACTTAAAGTATATTTAAAAAATTATTTTCCAACTTCAATTGTAATTTTTTTTTTTTTCTTTGAGACAGAGTCTTGTTCTGTCACCACTCTGAAGTGCAGTGGTGCAATCTCAGCTGACTACAACCTCCGCCTCCCGGGTTCAAGTAATTCTCCTGCCTCAGCCTCCTGAGTAGCTGGGACTACAAGCGCCCACCACGCCAGGCTAATTTTTTTGTATTTTTTTAAGTAGAGATGGGGTTTCATCGTGTTAGCCAGGATCGTCTCAATCTCCTGACCTCATGATCTGCCTGTCTTGGCCCCCCAAAGTGCTAGGATTACAGGCATGAGCCACGGTGCCTGGCCCAAAAATGTTTCTAAGTTGCAATTTTTTTTTTTTTTTTTTTTTTTTTTTTTAGTCAGGGTCTCGCTCTGTCACCCAGGCTGAAGTACAGTTGTACAATCATAGCTCACTGCAACATCAAACTCCTGGACTCAAGGCACCCTCTGCCTCAGACCTAAATAGCTAAGACTAGAGGTGTGTGCCACTGAGCCTGGCTAATTTATTTTTATTTTTATTTTTATTTTATGTATTCATTCACTCATTCATTTAAGACAGGGTCTCTCTCTCTCTCTATTGCCCAGGCTAGAGTGCAACGGGGCAATCTCGGCTCACTACAACCTCTGCCTCCCGGGTTCAAGTGATTCTCCCACATCAGCCTCCCCAGTAGCTGGGACTGGCACGCACCCCCACACCTGGCTAATTTTTATATTTTTTGGTAGAGATGGGGTTTCACCATGTTGGCCAGGCTTAATTTTTTTCTAGAGATGGGGTTTTGCTCTGTTGCCCAGGCTAGTCTTGAACTGCTGGGCTCAAGCAATTCTCCTTCCTTGGCCTCTCAAAGTGTTGGGATTACAGGCATGAGCCACTGCATCCAGCCTAAATTGCAAATTTAAAGAGATTATATCATTTTTTCCTTTTCAGCACTTTAAATGTCTTTGAAGATCAGTGCTTCTTGGTTAGTACAAAGAACAAATGTATATTTTAAAATTTTTAATAAAAAACTAAACATCTGGCCGGGCATGGTGGCTCACACCTGTAATCCCAGCACTTTGGGAGGTCAAGGCGGGTGGATCACCTGAGGTCGGGAGTTTGAGACCAGCCTGACCAACATGGAGAAACCCTGTCTCTACTAAAAATACAAAATCAGCCAGGGGTGTTGGCACATGTCTATATCCCAGCTACTCAGGAGGTTGAGGCGGGAGAATTGCTTGAACCGGGGAGGCAGAGGCTGTGGTGAGCTGAGATTTTGCCATTGCACTCTATCCTGGGCAATAAGAGTGAAACTGTCTCCAAAAAACAAAAACAAACAAACAAAAAAAAACTAAACGTCTTTGAACAGAAAAGTTTGGGAGTGGTTTCCTCAAAGAATATATAAAAACTCTAACAATGTTCCCTGATTTCAAATCACTTTCAAAAAAGTTTTGTTCTAAATCCTAGTAAGTGGAGCAAATAAAATCAGCATAGCTTACTGTGATGGAAGTGTTCAGCTGAGCGTCTGTCTTGACAACACAGAAAGTTATTTTGGTGACTTCTCAGAGCAAGTGGAATTTCAGTTAGAATTTGTATCATTCTAATTTTTCCCCTCCCTGGGACACCCTGTGCTTGTAGCCCCACAAAATTTGTTGTACTCCTTCTTTTTCTATGTCAATTAGAATGCTCTTGTCTGCAAATAAAGGCCAACAGAGTTTTTAAACAATAAAGAGATTTATTTTCACCTAAAAAGAGTCCAAGCAGGACAGTGACCATGGAAGTTGGAATCCACTAAGGAGTGTGTAACAACTCACCTGCCAAATCAACTAAAAAAAAAAAAAAAGAGTCCAGGTATAGGCATGTGAGAGGTTGTTTAATTCAATGGTTCCTCAACATTGTCACCATGAACTAATTTTTTTTGTGTGCTTTGGTTCTGTCATCCTCAGCCTTGTCTTCACAGTCATAGCACATCTGCCATACAACAGTGATCACATACAGCAGTTTCTCAACTTTGGAAGTTGGTATTTGAGGCTGAATCATTCATTGTTATGGGGGGCTGTCCTGTGCATTGTGGAATGTTTAGCAGCATCCCTGTTTTCTACCCAGTAGATGCCCATAGCACTCTCCCCACAGTTACAAAAAGCAAAAGTGTCTTCACTCTTCAGTCATTGCCAAAAGTCCCATGGAGAGTGGGGGCAAAATCACCCCCAGAACTGCTCACTATAGACACAACAATCAGTAGCAGAAAACAGACTGATTTTTTTTCCTCCAAATAGTTTAGTTTAAGACCTTGCTCATACATTCTCAGCAGACTTTCCCTCTATGGCATTGGCTAGAATTGTCACTTGCCCATGCCTAAACTAACCACATACAAGGTAAATGGGAATCAATGCAGCCCTCAGACTCAGGCAAGTGAGATGCTGTACCAACCCACACCTCAGCATCTTTGGAATATATATATACACACACACACACACACACACAGACACATATATGCATATATATACACACATATATACATACACACACACACACGCGCACATATATATATATATAATTTTTTTTGAGATAGAGTCTCTGTCTGTCACCCAGGCTGGAGTGCAGTGGCATGATCCCAGTTCAATCTCTGCCTCCCAGGTTCAAGTGATTCTACTGCCTCAGGCTCCCAAAGTAGCTGGGATTACAGGCACATGCCACCACGCCTACCTAATTTTGTATTTTTATTAGAGAGAATTTTTAGTATTTTTAGTTTCACCATGTTGGCCAGGCTGGTCTCAAATTCCTGGCCTCAAGTGATCTCCCCACCTCAGCCTCCCGAAGTGCTGGGATTACGGGCATGAGCCACCACACCTGGCCTGGAGTATATTTTTAAAGTAAACTTTGTATTGGCCACTCTTGTGTTGCTATAAAGAAATACCTGAGACTGAGTAATTTATTTTAAAAAATAGGTTTAACTGGCTCACGGTTCTGCAGGCTGTACAGAGCAGGCATCTCTTGGCTTATGGGGAGGCTTCAGGGAGATTTTACTCATGGCAGATGGTGGAGCAGAAGCTTGCACATCACATAGCGGGAACAGGAGCAAGAGGTGGAGGCTGGAGGGCCACGCTTTACAAGGAACAGATCTCATCAAAACTCATTCACTATCATGAGAACAGCACCAAGCTAAGAGGGATCCTCCCCCATGACCCAAACACCTCCCACCAGGCCCCACTGCCAACGATGAAGATTACATTTCAACATGAGGTTTGGGCAGGGACAAATATCCAAACTATATCGAACCTTTTATTTTGGAATAATTTAATTTAAATTTACAGAAAAGTTATAAAGATAGCACAGAGAATGCCTGTATGTCTTTTACCCAGTTTCCTCTAATATTAACATCTTAACATAACTATGGCACATTTGTTAAAATTGAGAGTGTTATCGGTTCATGACTATTAATCAATTTTCACAGTTAATTCAAATTTCACCAATTTTTCCTACTACGTCTTTTTTCTGTTCCAGGATCCCATGCAGGATACCACATTACATTTAGCCATTAAGTCTCCTTATTCTCCTCTGGTCTCTGACAGTTTCTCAATCTTTACTTGTTTTTGATGACCTGGATATTTTTGAATAGTGCTGGTCAGATGTTTTATATAATGTCCTTAAATTTGGGTTTGTCTGATGATTTTTTTTTTCTCATGACTAGTTATAGGGTTACAGACTTTTAAGAGGAATACCACAGAGGTAAAGGGAAAGTTCTCTTCTTATCAATCATGTCAGGAATACATACTACCAACATGACTTATCACTGTTGATGCTAACCCTGATCGCTTTGTTCAGGTAGTGTATGCCAGGGGTCTCTGCTGTAAAGTTACTATTTTTTCCCTTTACATAATCTATTGTTTGGAAGCAAGACACTAAATTCAGCCCATACTGAAGGGGTGAAGCTTTAAGTTACATCTCTGGAGGGGAAACTGTCTGCATGTATTATTTGGAATTCTTTAGTAAGGAAGATTTATCTTTTACCTATTTATTTATTTACTTAATCATATATTTACATATGTATGTCAGCATAGATCCAGGTATATTTGTTTTATTATTTGGGTTAAAGTACTATACTGTTTGTTTGTTATGGATGGTTAGTTTTAGGAGTCAACTTGACTAGGCTAAGCATGCCCAGGTAACTGGTAGAACATTATCGCTAGGTGAGGCTATGAAGTTTTTTCTCCTGGAAGAGAAAAAGGACATAGTAGGAAGAGATTTGAATCAGTCGACTGAGTAAAGAAGATAGCCCTCATCAATGTGGGGGGCATCATCCAAACTGTTGCATGATTAAACAGAACAAAAAGACAGAGGAAGGGTCAATTCAGTCTCTTTTCTGGAGTCTGGACATCCATCTCCTCCTGCCCTTGGACATCAGTGCTCCTGGTTGTCAAGTCCTCAGGCTTGAACTGGAAATACACAACTGGCTTTTCTGGATCTCCAGCTTGAAGATGGCAGGTTGTGGGATTTCTCAGCTTCTATAATCAAATGAGCCAATTATATATATAATCTATTGGTTCTGTTTCTCTGGAGTACCCTAATATAGTTGTTTCTCATTATCATGTGGTTGTTCCCATTATCATTTCAATGTCTTAATGTATATTCTTCCACTTATTTCTTCTTCCTTAAATATAAATAAGTACACAGGCATATAAATATGTTTGTATGTGTATTTCTTCTACAGAAGAAATTTGGTCTGGAAGTCAAGTCTGAAAAAGATTGTTTTAGAAGCACCCTCAAGTAAGTCTAAAGCACAGTCAAGACTGAGGACCACCAACCATCCTAAGCCAATTATGGTTGTTCTCATCAGGGCTGTCCCTAGTTGTATGGGGCCCTAGACATTTTTTTTTTCCTTTTTTTTTTTTTTTTTTTTTGGTGTGAAACCTCTATCTATATAAACAAAGGAAATAAGGAGAGAATGAGGCAGAATGGAATTAAGGCTGAAAGTTCATGATGAAGAGAAAAACTAAGAGCATACAAACTAAAGTTACAATGCAGAGACTATGAAGCAGACAAAAAATAAACAGAATGGGGACATAGTATAGGCCAGTTGGAAAAGGAAAACAGGAAATACACAAAAAGAAGTATGCCTCAATTCCGGACAGTTTTCTAGTTACAATTCTAGCGCCAATCCACGTTTCTTTTTTTAATGAACTGTAAATTTATGGAAGTTACTTTGCACCAGAAAAGTTCAATTATAGTATGTAGATGTGAAAAAGAAAATGAATAAAAACAAGGAAGAGAATTGACCAATGCTGCAGGGATAAATAATGTAATGAAAGAAGTTAGGGGAGTATCCAGTTTATAGCCAGGAAGTGAGATCCATTCTAAGCTTTAGTTTGAAAAGTACATCAAAATCAATCATTTCAGAAGACCACTAGACAGATAGACTTCCCCAGAGTTTGCAGATCTGGTCTTTATTTTTGCAGACTCAGAAACATGAGCTGCCAGATTACTAAGTCTTGTCTACCTCTCGGGTGTAAACACATTGATGAAGCTCATAGAAACTCATACATTGAAAACCCAACCAGGCGCAGTGGCTCACACCTGTAAATCCCAACACTTTTGGAGGCTGAGGCAGGAGGATCCCTTGAACCTAGGAGTTTGAGACCAGCCTGGGCAACATAGTGAGACCCTATCTGTAAAAAAAAAAAAACCTGCAAAAAACCTAATATATAATCTGTCATGGGATTAGAGTTAAAAAAAAAAAAAGAAAAGAAAAAAGAATGCAAATTAGTTGATTTATAAAGATAATTGCCAGTTGACTAAATACTTTTTTTATTGCTCATAGCATTATATTTCCATAGGCAAATTAATGTGGGAAACCAAATTATTATTCAAAGATTGCTTCATAAGTATAAAATTAGATCAATAGAAGTTGGTTGAAATTAGTGCTATCAAGTTATAACAATCTGATGCATCCATTGTATCTTAAAAACATACGTGCTGAAGAGCCTAGATACTTAAGTCTGTGGGCTAGAGCTGATGAACACTCTGAAGACACTGTAGTAGTCAAAATAATAGTCCCCAAAGAAGTCCTCATCTTAATCCCCAGAACTTGTGAATATGTTATGTTACATGGCAGGGAGAAATTAAGGTTGCAGATGGAATTTAGGTTGCTAGTGAGCTGAATTTAAAATAAGAAAATTATCCTAGATTATCCAGGTAGGCCCAGGGTAGTAATCACAAGGGTACTTTAAATGTAGAAGAAGGAGGTACAATTTAGAGTGACGCAATACGAGAAAGACTCAACTGGCCATGGCTGGCTTTGAAGATGAAGGGGGCCATGAGCCAAGAAATGTGGGAACCTCTAGAAGCTGGAAAAGACAAGAATACAGATTATCCTCTAGATTCTGTAGAGAGGAATACAGCCCTGCTGACACCTTAATTTTAGCATAGTGAGACACATCTACAACTTTAGGACTTTTTTCTGTCTTTGTACAAGATTTTATTAAAGTTCTTTACAGAACAACATCCAGACTCCAGACACAGCTGCTAAGGAGACCCTGTTATGCTGTGGGGACTGGCTGGGACATGGCAGGTGGCTCTGGCTTCCTACCTTTCTGTTCTGAGATGGGGGTGGTGGAGAGTATCTCATCTTTGGGTTCCACGATGCTCATGTGGTCGGGCAGGGGCTTCCTAGGGCTAATCTTACCAGCTGGTTCCCAGGGCAGCATGATCTTCACCTTGATGCCCAGCACACCCTGTTGGAGCAGCACATGGTGCACAGTGGTGTCAACATAGTATTAACAGGGTCCCAGCTATGGATCATCAGGCCATCCACAAACTTCATGAATTTAGCCCTCTGTCCTCAGAGTTTCCCAGACACAGTGACCTTGAAGCCTTTGGTCCCACTCTCCATGATGAACCATAGCACACCATAGGCAGGCCCTCTGCACAGCAAGCCCTCCTAGGGGTTTGTAACACAGAGACTCTGCCTGGGCAATGGCACATGTCTCTTGTGGACACCTTTTCAGCATAAAGCTCTACTTTACCCTCTGAAAAGCCAAACCTCTTCTGAACTACAGCAGTCAATTCCCTGATCTGCCAGACCTTCTCATCAAGAACATTCTGTGTTCTGGTGGCTAAGGTAATGATTTCTGTCCTAGTTGGTGTAACTCAGACCTCGACTCCAGAGTAGCTATCTTCAGCCAGCTCCTGAATGAGAACTTCATTCAGTTCAGCTTTGAAGATACCATCAGCGACAAACTTCCTCTTCTTGGAAAACTGTACCACCATCTTGCTGTGGCACACCAGTGAAAGAAAAGGATGGCACTTAGGACTTCTGACCTCCAGAACTGTAAAATAAGGCAATTTTTTATAGCAACAATGGGAAATGAACACAGACACCCTGCCAAAATATGATTTTCTGACCTCTATTTGTGGACTCCATAAATTTTCCTTTCTTAATACCATCTTTTAAAGCAAACAAATATAATAACTTGGCATAAACTTTTAGTTACATCACAATCCAGACAGGCTTCCCCAGCTGGATCATCTTGATTGGTGTTCACCAATTATTTGGACACTTCTTGTTCTGGTAAATCTTTTTTGTGGGCCATTTCTTGATCCTGGGAATCTCCAGACAATAGGATTGCAGAGATCTGGCTCTAAGATTTCTTACTGATACAGTTTGTTCACTCAAAGGTCATTCTAGACTAACCAAAAATGAAAGGTGAATTCTGGAATCGCTCCAAATGTCTGGGGACACCAAATCTAGGAGGGAAAAGGGCAGAACAAATATCTGATGGCATGAGTAAGCTGGCATATTGTAACCCAACATATTTGGTTATTGTTCCCTGCAGAATACAACTGCATTATAGTGTCAAAGGCTTGTATTAAAAGACAGAGCATGTTCCTCCTTGTATCAAGCTAGATACAAAGAGATCTTCCTCATCTCTGAAAACAGAGTTCTTTAGAGTCCATGTTACAGAGTCTAGATTTGTTCTAAATAATAATAATTTAAAAAGCTAACAGTTATTGAGCTCTTACTATGTATCAGGCACTATTCTAATTTCATTTAAGTTCATTCAAACTTCACCACAACCTGATGACTTACCAATAATTATCCCTGTTTTACAGATGAAGAAACTGAGGCTTAGAGTGACTAAGTAGTTTGACCAGGGTTAGACAACTGGTAAGTGGCAGAGCTATTATTTGAACCTCATCAGTCTAGAGACTGAGTTCTTAACTAATACACTTTATACTATGGTTTGAATATATCCCTCAAAGTTTATATGTTGAAAACTTGATCCCCAATGAGAAGTGATTAGGTTATGAGGCCTCTGCCCTCATGAATGGATTAATGCTGCTATCCTGGGAATGGGTTCCTTATAAAAGGATGAGTTTGGCCCTATCTTGTGCTCTCTCTCTCTCTTTCTCTCTCTCTCTCTCTCTCTCTCTCTCTCTCATCTTCTCTTTGTCCTTCTGCCATGGGATGATGTAGCAAGAAGGCCCTCACCAGGTGCCAGCCCCTCAGTCTTGGACTTCCCAGCCTCAAGAACCCATGAGCTAATAAATTTCTGTTCATTATGTGAAAGTTGTCAAGATCAAAATTGAGTCATTTGGGTTAAAAAATAAAAATAAAAAATAGAGCCTCAAAGGGCCATGAAGGAAGGGTTCTCACAAATAAATGCCTGGTAACAAAAACTATCACAAAAGCTGCTGCAAAAACCATAACATTGCACAAACACCACAGCAACCTTGCACACAAAACAGTATTTCTGTGAGGATATCTGCCCAGCTAACCTTGGACTGGTGTCACTTTTGTAATTGATCCTTGTACCCATGGCTAAATTATCTCAAAACAATTATGTAATCCTTTTCATTTTTTCTTTAAAAACCTTTGTGTTCCCTTACCTCCCTAAATACCCATGTAGTTTACTAAGGGCGCACATACTCCTATTGCAATGCCCTATTCCTGAATAAAGATCATTTTATTTTAGAGAGTCTCTCTCTGTTATCTAGGTTGACAATTATAAATTACCCAGTCTGCTATTCTCTTATAGCACAAAACAAAGACGCTTTTCCGTAATTTAGAAGTGTATTAAACTTCAACAAATACAGGTATACCAGAACTAAAATAAAGGGAGGTACAGGGGATGACTACATAAAGAAGAGGATGTTTTTCACAATAAGGACTAGTAATAACAAAGCAAAGTAATTATGATAATAATTTAATTAAAAAATGAGATTATCTCCAATAATTCTGTTCAAGAAGAAAAACTTGTACTACAAACTTAGAATAATGTGCTTATAGCAGTTTAGTCATAGTAGTTTTGTTGAAGCTGTCTAGTTGGGTCAAAAAGTTATTGCACTGTGAATCAGACGAATCGGATTCCAGGTATTCTTGCCTCTATTTAACTAAGTGAGGTTAATAAAGCCACTAACCTTCTAGCTCCTAGTTTACCACAAATAGTGTTCATGCTGCTGGAGAAAGCACTGTAAGAAGAAAAAGATAAATGCTTTCTTGTCACAAGAGAGTGAACACTAGCATCAAGAATTTATTGACGTTTTAAAATATTAAAAGAGTATAATTGGATTGTTTGTAACACAAAGGATAAATGCTTGAGATGTGGATACCCATTTACCCTGATGTGATTATTACTCATTGCATGCCTGTGT